GACAAAGAGGGGCCATGATTTGGCTCAGAGGTCGTGCACTCGCTGTGCGGGCTGTGAGGCCCCAAAGTCTATCCCCAGTACCCGACCTCGTCCAGGTGAGATCCTTCTCAGGATGGGTGATCCCTGATGGCCCAACCCTGCTGGTGCTCAGAGTGGGCAGCCAGTGACCCGGGGCCCCACTCGAAGTGATGGGCCTGACATCCGAACTCACGTTGCGGTGAAGCCAGAGGCCGATTGTTGTTTTGTTTTTGGAAAATTATGTGGAGCACAGGTTGACCGGCAGGGTCAGGGGGAGTGTGGGGAGCAGAGGGACAAGGCCAGTCAGCAGCCTTCCCGGCTAAGGGAACCCCGTTTCTACCAGCCCCGTGCCTCTGCCTTTATCACCTTCCCAATGGAGGAGCCAACTGCCTCCTCCTCCCTTCCCATGACCCCCCTCCAGGCTTCTGTTCCTCACGGCCAGGCATGTTCACACGACACGGGGTTAAGAAGGAATCATGTGGGGCTAGATCAGCAGGCAGGGCATTTGCCTTGCATGCGGCCGACCCGGGTTCGATTCCCAGCATCCCATATAGTCCCCTGAGCACCGCTAGGGGTAATTCCTGAGTGCAGAAACACGGGTAACTCCTGTGCTTCGCTGGGTGTGATCCGCCCCCCCCCCAAAAAAAAAGAAGGAATCATGTCCCATAGCCAAGAGGGACACCACGGCGGAGAAAGGCCCACAGCGCCTCTCACAGCCAGCCACCACTTCCTGTCCAATCTCATCACTGCCTACCACGAATTCAAACAACAGACACTGAGTGCCGATCGTGTGCCAAGCTGTGAGGGACATCAGGGCCCACGCCCTGTGAACAAGCGGAAACAAAGCGTCCTGACCCCGTGGTACTTGTTCTTCTTTTTTTTTTTTTTGAGGGGGATGGGATAAAGGGAGGGAACAGACTGGCCATAAACACAAAGATAACTGGAGGCAATGTTAGAAAGTGTCAAGTGTGGCGGCAGGGGAGATAGTACAGTGGCAGGGAGGGCGCTTGCCTTGCATGCAGCCAACCCTGGTAGGATCCCTGGCACCCCACTGGGTCCTTCGAGCCCACCAGGAGTGATGCTGGAGTATAATCAGTCCTGAGCACAAAAACCAAAAGCCAAAAAAATAAAGGTAGTGGGGCTGGAGCGATAGTATAGCAGGTACGACACTTGCCTTGTAAGCGGTCCACCCAGGTTCAATCCCCAGCACCTCATAAGGCCACCTGAGCACTATCAAGAGTAATTCACGAGTGCATTAAGCCAGGAATAACCCAAAACCAGGTGTGCTTCCCCCTCTTCCCCCATCCAAAAAAAAAATAGTTATTATTTTTTTAAAGAATTAAGAAAATGAAAGGAAATAGCATAAGCATGCAGCTGTAAGGTTTAAATGTTGGATTTTCCAGTCGAGACAGGCCTCTTTGAGCAAGGCACATCAGAGGAAAGCCTTGGACCTTCCCTCTGAGAAGCCCTTACTGATGTTCCCTGCTTCTAGACGAACCTTAAGGCCAGTTCAGATGTCACCTCCTCTGTAACATCTTCCCAGCACCCTCAGGCCCCAGACTATCTCATTCATCATTGTCTTTTTTGTTTGGGGGCCACACCTGGCTGTGCTCAGGGCTTACTCCTGACTCTGCGCTTAGGGATCATTCCAGGCGGTCCTCAGGAGACCTTAAGTGGCTCTGGAGCACACACCAGGGTCAGCTCTATGCAAAGCCAAGCGCCTTCCTCCTGTCCTCTCTCTCTAGCCCGTGTACAATCCTCTCTCTATGGCTCATCACCCTCACACGAGTATGCATGCGTCCAGCACCGTACTATGTACATCTAGATGATTAATAAGTGTGCCCATGACTCAACAGACCACCAAGGATGCTTCGTGCTGGCTCTAAAGACTTGTTTTGGGCCTCCCTGGGAATGAAAAATGACAGCGACGAACTGGAACGCTGGGTCTGCACGATAGCCAGGCACTCACCTGCTTGATGATGTAAGTGAGCTCCTCGATTTCCACGGCCTTATCATCAAAGAGGGACTTCCGCTTTGCCACTGCAGAGACAGACGAGAAGCCATGATGGAAGAGGTCAAAGACTCAACTCGGGGGGCAGGGGGGAACAGAACCCTCTCGGGTTCCCAGCTCTCAGCGTTCCCAAGAACACTCACAGATCGTCAGCTTCTCCAGCTTGGCAAACGTGTTACTGAGGTCTTTCCCGATGTGCCTGCAAACAAGCCCTGGTGAGAGCGCTGTGGGCAAGCAGGGCAGAGGGCCCTGCCCCCTGCTTAGTCAGGCCTGCATAGTCCACCCCCCACCGACAACCCTTCTCAACTCACTTGGCCATGAGGGTGAACTCGCTGCGCTGCCTGACAGCACGCAGAGCCGGCTTATTTGCCTGGATTCCATTCTGAAACGCAACGTCAAGAGGAGTCACTTCAGTTCCCTCCTCTGATTTTCAGCTGTCACTATTCCTCAGTTGTCCCCTTTACTCTCTAGTGCGAGGCGCTGTCTTCCACAGGCTGGTCTGAGTTACCAACCGTGGTTAAGTCATCACCCAGATTTCCAGAGAGGGAGCCTTACACCGTCGCTTAACCAGTTGGAGGGTTTGGGGCAAGTTACCTATATCATTCAGAATCTTTTGCTATATCTAAAAAAATGAATATAAGTCCCAGGCACCCTCTTGTTGCTAAGATTAAATGGCATAAGGGGGCGGAGCTGGGGCTTTAGTACAGCAGGGAGGGCGTTTGCTTTGCATGTGGCCAACGGACAACCTGGGTTAGATCTCCTGTATCCCATATGGTGCTCTGAGCTCACCAGGAGTGATCACTGAGTGCAGAGCCAGGAGTAAGCCCTGAGCACTACTGCCAGGTGTGGCCCAAAAATAAACAAAATAAATGGCAGAAGGGCTACTATTTACCTGGTACACTGTGAGCACTAAGTAAATTGTAGCTAGTACTACTATTCCATGCCCTGAATTGGGGAGTTTTGGGAAATCACAGTTAAGTGCAGTTGTTAACAAGAGCTAAGCAGAGCAGAGATAATAAAGACGACAGCTACATAGCGTTCTGCTGGATTTCAACCCTCTGAACCAAGGCAAGGCAGAGATTGTGATAAAATTTACTTATTGAAAAAAAGTCGTTCTTCAAAGATATAAAAACTGAGGCCATGGGGCGGGAGATAGTACAGTGGGGAGGGTGTCTGCCTTGCCTGCAGCCGACCTGGCTCTCCTGCACCCCAAAGGGTTCCCTGAGCCTCCCAAGAGTAATTCCTGAGCACAAAGCCAGGAGTAACCCCTGAGCATCGCCCAATTCAAACAAACAAAAAAAAAATTACCGAGGCCCGGTTAGATTCCTTATGGTTACAGAGCAAACCTGTGGTCAGATTATGCCAACCCTAGAACTCTAGGGTCTAACAACCGTTCCTTATGCCAATCTGATCTACTGCAGCTGCATCTCATTTCTGGATATGCCTACTGGGATAGCAAAGTTGCTGGTGGGGGGGGGGGGGGAGTTGTCTTTACACAACATCTAGGACCCTGCCTCCAGGTCCCCTGCCCAACTCTGCCCAGTTGCTTGGCAGATGCCATCCAAGTCACGCACAGTGCCCGAGGCAGCAAGGTTTGAGTTTCGGTCAGGCTTCTCCCATCCCAGATCCTTACCTGACGGCTCTGCAGGGACTTGCAGGCAGACAGGAACTCCTGGGTCCGATCCCGGCAGGACATGGTGTCGGGAGGGGGAGGGACCAGGGCCGCTTGGGGGGGCAGAGGGGCGATGTCGCTGCTGCTGCTATTGCCAGCAGTTGCAGGGGACAGGACCTGTGTCTTTGAGAGACCCAGGTAGACACCCTGATCCGTGTTCTTAGACCCGTAGCGTTTCCGCGGGATCATTGAGACGCATAACCTCGGGCTGCTGTGGAGGGGAGAGTGTCATTCCCCAGGCAGCCGCAAACCCCCATCCACCCACCTACCCAGTCAATCCTCAGGCCCCTCTGGACGCTGGCACGGGGCTTTCGCGCCCCCAGCCACCCGCAGATCCTGGCCCCGCAGGTCTCGTCCCAGACCAAGGTCCCCTCCCCCGCCCCCGCCTCAGTCTAGTCTCCGAAGCAACTTGGTTCTGGCGCCGGCCCCTGAGAAGCGAAGACAGGACCTGAGCCGGGTCCCGTGGCCCGGCGGCACCAGTCCGGCCTGTGCATACTGTCCCAGCCCACACTGGGCCTCTCGTATCCACGAATTCCTCTGACTCCTCGGGAATAAATGGTGACGGAGCTGCGGAGGGCTGGGGTGGGGGTTGGACACACTTCGGCGGGCCGAGTAGGGGGGAAATCACTAGGTGTTTATTTGAAACAGGAAGTCCCACCCCTCTAAGTCCCGCCTTCTAGAGGACAGCTAACGCTGATTAGCTCGTGCCGACGTCTGTCTCGACAGAGCCTTTCCTGATTGGACAGAGAGGTATTCGCTCACTCCGAGCCGGGCCAGCAGGATCTGCCCGCTCGCCCCGGGTTCCCTTCCCCCCTCCCACCCCCCCGCGCCGGCCCGTCGCCGCCTCAGTAGAGCCGCTGCCCGGAGCCGACGAGCCGCGCAGACTTAGCGCATATTCTACCTCCTCTCCGCCTCCTGTCGCCGCCGCCACTGCCGCAACCTCCTGGGTCGTCACCGCCGCTTCCCAGAGTGCCGGAGCCGCCGAAACCCGACCAAAGCTTAGAAGCAGCCACGTCACCCACTCGTAACCCCGGCCCCGCTGACGAGAGGGAGAGGGCGGCGCCACGCCTTCCGGAGCCAGGGCAGGGCCACGCCCCCGGCCGGCGACTCCGCCCCCCGGCTAGCCCGCTCCGACCACGCCCCCTTAAAGAGCTGCGTCCGGGCCGTGGGGGGCGGGGCCCAGGACCCCCTTAAAGAGCCCGCAGCTGCCGTGCCGCGGAGGTCCAAGCCCTTGGGCGGGTGCAAGTTAATAAATTTTATTTTCTGGGGGGTGCGGCGGACTGAGGGCAGGGCTGGGGGTCATCCCTTCTCCGACAACTCCGACTCCTCCTCGATGTCCTCTTGGTTTATTTCCGGAAGCGCTGGCCCAGTCTTTTGACTCTGCACCGACGACAGCCTATTGGTCCGCGTGGACCCCCGACGGCTGAACATGGAGAGCCTCCGCCACAGCACGGTGATCAGGAGGCTGTCGTTGGATTTGTGCTTCTTCTCATCCGACGTCTCCATGTCGCCCTCCTGGCCTGCGGAGACGAGGCCCTGAGCTCTGCTCCAGGAGCCCCCGGCGCCGGGGAGGCGCCCCCCGCCCGAGGTCCCCGCCCCTGCTCTTACGCCTCAGTTCCTGGTTGGCCCCGTCGTCGTCCTCCCCGTCGCCATCATCCATCCTGTTGTCCTTGTGCTCGTTCTGCTCCTTGTCCTGGCAGCAGCCCATGGCCACAAGCAGCCCCACATTCCTCCCTCGCCGGAGGGGTCTGTGCGCTGTTTGTGACGTCAGCAGTCCCCAAGCCTGCCCTCTCCCCGCCTGGCCCTCAAGAAAGGCTGCGGCCACCTGGTGGGTTACATTGTTTATTTACAAAGCCAGCGCAGGCGGCTCTTTCAGGGGCTGGTGGACCCCGGCCTCTTCTTCTTCTTCCTCCGACAGGTTTGGGGAGTCCCTTGGGTGGGCTCGGAATCGGGGCGTTTCCGCTTGGCCGCTGCCTCCAACGAGGCCCAAAGCTCGTCAGTTTCGATGTCTCGAGGGGGGCTACTGGGCTCTTCAGGTTCCGGGGGCTCGTCCTGAGTGAGAGGAAAGCAGAGACCTCAGCAATCAATGGAGTGCAGGGGGCTGGGGCCATCCCATCCCGGGTCGGCTCACCCTACTGACTGGAGGAGATTCAGGGCTTTTTTGTTTGGCTTTGGGGCCACACCCAGCGATGCTCCGGTTACTCCTGGCTCTGAACTCAGGAATCACTCCTGGTGGTGCTCGGGGAACCATATGGGATGCTGGAGATCCAACGTGGGTGGGCCTCGTGCAAGGGAAGTGCCTTCCCCGCTGTACTATTACTGCGGCCCCTATACTCTTTCTTGCAGGGAGGGTGGAGTGTCTAGAGCAGGTTTGGAGTGCTCAGGGAACCGAGCATCCACGGTACTGGATCAGATGCATATGCAAGGCCAGCGCCTTCCTCACTGTACCATCTCGCTGGCCTGGGGACTATATATTTTTAATTCTTTGGTTTTCTCCTTCTCCACCCTCCCTTCCCGGAACTATATTCTTAAATTCCCTTGGACAAATCATGTAACTTGGCTTCACATTTCCTGTTAGATCCTGTTTTGTTCAGGGGCCACAGCAGGGAGGGCACTCGCCTTGCACACAGCCCAGCTGGGTTCGATCCCCATCATCCCCTGAGCACCGCCAGGTGTAATTCCCGAGTGCAGAGCCAGGAATAACCCATTGAACGTAGCCAGGTGTGACCCCCCCAAACAAAACAAAACAAAAAAACCCCACTTCAACTTTTTTTGTTGTTCCTTTGGGGTCACACCTAGCAGTGCTGAGGGCTTACTCCTGGCGGGGCTCGGGAGATCATAGGGGGTGCAAGGGTTCCCCACTCTACTCTCTCTCCAGCCCCTGCTTTTAACATTCTTATGTTGAGGGGCCGCCCCCTCGCCCCATATGTTCCAGGAGTGATTCCTGAGCCCAGAAGCAAGAAAAAGAAGCCACGAGCACTGCCGGGTGGGGGTACCCACGAAGCAAAAAGGAAGAAAACGACCATTCGCATGTCGCAAGCAGCCATGCTGCGGGCTGGACTCCGGATGGGGAGGCTGGGCTGAGGTCCAGTTTCCCAGAATCTCTTTGGAGGACTTGAGGGAGGATTTTGTGTGCTCACCTCCCAGTTATCCCGGCCGGACAGGAGGAGGCAGTTCAGTTGAGACTTGAGATAAACCTGCAAAAGAGGAGAGGCCTTCACCCCAGTGTCCGCAAGGGCAGGAGACTGGGCGGGGAGGAAGCGGGCGCTCGCTCACCTTGTGCTCCAGGCCCCGGGGGTTCCGGATCCTGTGTATCCTCAGGACTCTGTCCAGCCCGCAGGAGGCCAGGAGGGGCTTGGAGGGGTGACACTGCAAGCCTCGGACACTGCCCGCCAGTCCCTTCAGACAGCCCACTAGGCGCCCTGGAGGAGGGGGAGGGACCTGAGCCAGAGGAGGTGGCTGGCCGCCTCTGGGCCAGCATGATTGATGGAGTGACTGGTTTGGGTTACACAAGAGAGCTTTGATTGAAACTTCGTTTGAAAGATGAGGGGAGAGAAAGGAATAAGGGTGTGTTCTGGAGAGAACACAGGCGGGTTGGAGGGATAGCACGGCAGGGAGTGCACTGGCCTTGCACTGAACCTACCTGGGACCGGCCGACCTGGGTTCGATCCCCTGCATCCCCTATGGTCACCCACCCAGCACTGCCAGGAGTAATTCCTGATAACAGCCAGGAGTAGCCCCTGAGCAGTGGTGGGTATCACCCCCCCTCAAAAAAAGAGGGCTGGAGTGATAGCACAGCGGGTAGGACATTTGCCTTGCATGTGGCCAACACGGTTTCGATTCCCAGCATCCCATATGGTCCCCCGAGCACTGCCAGGGGTAATACCTGAGGGTATGAACCAGGAGTAACCCTGTGCATCACCAGGTGTGACACCCCCCCCCCAAAAAAAGGGGAGGAAAAAAAGAGGCAAGCAGGTGCAAGAAATGTTCACAGATTCAACCTGGATGTTGAATTGTATTGTTCAAATTAGTACGGGGGGAGGGCATTTGCTTTGCACGAAGCTGACCTGGATTTAATCCCCAGCATCCCATAGGGTCCCCCGAGCACCACCAGGAGTAATTCCTGAGTGTAGAGCCAGTAGTAACCCGAGTGTGTGATCCCACACCTCCTCCCAAAGCCTGTACTCCCTCCATATTTCTTTTCTTTTTAAAATTAATTTAATTTTTTGCTTTTTGGGTTACACACCCGGCGATGCACAGGGGTTATTCCTGGCTCTGCACTCAGGAATTCCTCCTGGCGGTGCTCGGGGGAATTAGCTCAAGAGTTTTCGAAGATAGGAGATTTTTTTGTGGCTATCTCTCTCTTGGCGTTCCTCGCACATTCATGGAGGTGCTGAACCAGTCGATCGTATTCCTCGTCAATGTTGTCAACAATGGCATCTTCCCATGTTGCCACAATAGTACCAAAGAGTTCCCAGTTGAGCTAATTCGCCAGCATGGTTCGGCGCATGCCTCAGGCAACCGCAAGCTAACGTCCGAGCTCGCAAAGCAGTGCAAAGATGCGATCAAGGAAGACCTCAAAGAGAGAAGAGCAGAAGTACTGGTAGATGCGGCAGAAGCCGGGAAAAGTATTCGTAACTCCTGCCTGTCCTTCGCCAACTATAAGACCAAGATGACTGCCCTCCGACGTCCTGATGGATCCATCACATCCTCCAGAACGGCAATGGAGAAGATTATCCATGACTTCTACTCAAATCTCTTCGATAGCCATGTCCACTTGCTGACATACCAAATTCCACAGGATGGATATGTCGTTCCCAACGTTCTCCCTTCCGAAATCCGACATGCCATTTCGTCGGTAAAGAAACAAACAGCACCCGGCACAGACAAGGTCAGAACTGAATACCTGAAGAACCTGCCGTCAGTACTCATCAATACACTGGCTCGGCTCTTCACTCGCTACCTGTCTGAATGCAAGGTTCCGTCCCAATGGAAAACCAGCAGGACCGTACTACTGTTCAAGAAGGGAGACATCCATGACATTGGCAACTATCGCCCGATCTGCCTATTGTCTGTCATCTACAAGTTGTTCACTCGAGTCATCCTGAATAGGATTGGCAGAACACTAGATGAAGGACAACCATGCGAACAAGCCGGGTTCCGCAAAGGATTCAGCACCATCGACCATATCCACACAATAACCAAGCTCATTGAGGTTTCTCGGGAGTTCAAGATGCCGCTCTGTTTAACGTTCATTGATTTAAAGAAGGCCTTTGATTCTGTTGAGACGGAAGCAGTCATTGAAGCCCTAGCCAATCAGGGCATTCAAGCCCAATACATCAGGATCCTCCGTGAGCTGTATTGCGGATTCACTACCAGGATCTCACCATTCTACAAAGAAGTGATCGTTGATGTCAAGAGAGGGGTGCGGCAGGGTGATACCATTTCACCGAAACTCTTCAGTGCCACCCTCGAGAACATCATGCGACGACTGGAATGGGAAGGAATGGGAGTGAAGATAGATGGTCGGCAACTACACCACCTCCGCTTTGCTGATGACATAGTTTTAATAACACCAAACATCAGCCAAGCGGCACAAATGCTGGCCGACTTTGACCGTGAGTGTGGAAAGGTAGGACTACAGCTGAATCTTACGAAGACAATGTTTATGAGAAACAGCCTTGTTCCTGACGCCCCATTTGCTCTCAATGGAACGACCATCTCCAAATGCAACAGCTATGTGTACCTAGGTCGAGAGGTCAACATGACAAATGACCTGGCACCCGAGCTGCGCATGAGGAAGAGAGCGGCTTGGAACGCCTTCAAGAGCGTCGAAGCAATAGCTAAGAGGACGAAGAACCTCCAGCTCCGGGCACATCTCTTTGATTCCACTGTTCTTCCTGCATTAACATATGCCTCAGAGACCTGGGCCCTACGCAAACAAGATGAGAACACTATTCAGGTCTCCCAAAGAAGAATAGAAAGAGCTATGCTTGGAATATCACGTTTCACTCAAATGAGAGAAAGAATCCGGAGTTCTGACCTTCGTTGATGATCAAGAATCAGGGACGCTGTCTCATTTGCCAAGGTGTCGAAAATCAGATGGGCTGGTCACGTAATGAGATTTAAAGACGACCGCTGGACTAGAGCTGTTACCGACTGGATTCCACGGGATGTCAAAAGACCGCGTGGCCACCCACCTACCAGATGGTCAGACTTCTTCGTCAAGATCATGAACGATCGGTTTGAGGCCCTTCATGTTCCCAGAGCGAACAGATGCCATTGGGCTACACTAGCACGCGACAGGGACAAATGGAGATGTTACTGGCGCCCGCTCGAGCAAATCGACGACTAACGGGAAGTGATTAAGAGTGGTGCTCGGGGGACCATATGGGATGTTGGGGATCGAACCTGGGTCGGCGGCATGCAAGGCAAACGCCCTACCCGCTGTGCTATTGCTCCAGCCCCTCCCTCCATATTTCATCCTCAACACACCTGAGACAGGATTCCCCACTATTTCCATTTGACAGGAACTCCAGCACAGGAAGCAGAAATAACTTGTCACGGGTCATAAAGATTTGGGTAAAGCCAGGATTTGAACCCTGGCTATCTGCTTATGGGTCACAACTGACAGCAGCGTTCTGGGGACCCTGTGGCACCGGGAAAGGATCCCAGGCCTCCTGCTCGCAGAGCTTGGGTTCAGCCCACTGCAGTCCCCACCCAGCCCCTACACGGGGGCCACCCGCGGCCACTCACCTTGCCGGAGGTCAATTTCTGCCAGCTGCCCGTGCGTGTTCCCCACGATCACAGAACTGAGGAGCGAGAACAGGCAGGTAAGACAAGGGTCGGAGTCCTGAACAGCAGGAAGGATGCTGGCCTCACTCCCAACCAACTCAGGTTCGATCCTTGACACCCCATGGCGTCCCCCCAGGTCCAACCAGGCATTGGGGGAGTGATTTCTGAACACTGCCGGGTGCCCCCCCCAAAAAAAAGCAACCAAAAAAGGGGAAAAATGGGATGGAGAGATAATCCAGCAGTTCAGGTGCCGGCCTTGAATGTGGCCGGGTTCGATCCCTGGCATCTGGTATGGCCGCCCCAAGCACCACCAGGATTCCTAAGTCCAGAGCCAGGAGTAACCCCGGAGCATCGCCGGGTGTGGCCCCCCCAAACAAAACACAACCAACCTCTGAACAAAGAAAAGCAAATCCAGGAGGGGCTTCCCAGGACCCTCCCACTCTGTCTGGACACTCACTGGCCCTCGGGCGCCAGGGTCATGGCGGTCAGCGGGTACTCGCCATAGGTGGCCTCCAGGACCGGCCGGCGCTGCGGGGAGGCAGGATCATAGACGCGGACCTGGCGGAAGACTGAGGGGTTACAAGGGTACCTCCTGCCACGTGCCCCCTCTGGGTCTTTTGCATCCCCCCCATCCTGGCCCCCTCATTTCTCATGTGGAGGAGCCGCTGAGGGGCGTGAAAGGGATAGGGCTGGGGGCTGGAGCAATAGCACAGCAGGTAGGGCATTTGCCTTGCATGCAGCTGACTTGGATTCGATTCCCAGCATCCCATAGGGTTCCCTGAGCACCGCCAGGAGTAATTCCTGAGTGCAGAGCCAGGAGTAAGTCTTGTGCCATCACCGGGTGTGACCCCAAAAGCAAAAAAAAATTAAAAAAGAAAGGGACAGGGCTGAGATGTCGCAGGGGCCTCATGGGGAGTATCCATGCCCCTGACTCCGTTGCTGGTACCGGGGGCCAAGCGTCAGAGGGAACTGATTTCCAGCAAAGGAGGTCGGCCAGGACAGGAGGGAAAAGGAAACGCTGGTGAGGAGGCCGGAGTGACAGCACAGCGGGTAGGGCGTTTGCCTTTTGTATTTTTTTTAAACTTTTTTGGGGTCACACCTGGCCATGCTCTGAGCTCAGGAATTACTCCTGAAAGTGTTTGGGGGACCACATGGGATGCCGGGGATCCAACCCTGGTCCGTCACATGCAAAGCAAAGGCCTTACCCGCTATACTACTGCTCTGGCCCCAGGATGTTTGCCTTCCGTGGGACCGACCCGGGTGACGTGGGGTTGATCCAGGCATCCCATACGGATGCATCTCAGAGCAGCATGGGCGGCACCTGCGCAATCCTGGCTTTGATCTGTGCCAGTGGCCAATCATCTCCTCCCCAAGTACTTCCCGAAACCTCATCATGCTCCACCGCTCCACAGGGCCCCCGGGCTCAGCATACGGAAACTCTTCCCTCCTGCAGAGCCCAGAAGGCCTGCAGTGCCCGTGGGGGGGGTGGAGGGGAAAGGGCTGGTGATGCCTCACCTGGTGGTACCCTGTGCAGGTGACAACCTTCTGCGACTCCGGGAGGAAGTGGATGTCCTGGTCCCAGATGGGAACCCGCAGGTCCAGCCAATCATTGCGTACCTGACAGGGAGGTAGACGGGGCACAGGGTTGGAGGTGGGGAGGGGGTCCTCGGGGGGGGGGCCCTTCTCTGCTCTTCCTTCACCCTTTAGCCCTCCTGGGAGCAGCACTGCGAGCCCAGCCCCTGCACCCCGGTACTCACGTTCTTGGCCCTGAACACGGGCTCCGGAGAACCCTGCAAGTCCCACACCTTCAGCGCGTTTTCCTTCCCCCCTGTGGCCACCACGTGGGGGCGCGCCGGGTCCTGGCGCATCCTACACACCCCAGGGCCCACGTTCAGTTCCAGGAGCTGAAAAGGATGGGCAGGGGGAGGGTCAGTTCCAGAAACCCGGATCCTCTCTCCCCAAAGCACCTGCTGGGTTTTGGCCCCAGACCCCGCACTCCCCAGGATCAGGGTTGGAGAGCCTCACCGGGTCGGAGGCGGCGTCCTTGTCGTCATCCCTCCAGACTCGGAGAATCCCGGAATCCACACAGGTGATGAGCGTGCTGCGGCCAAGAGAGACTCGGGTAAGACACAGTCAAAGTGCCAAAAAGCAGGGCTGGAGCCACAGTCCAGTGGGGGAGGAAACTTGCCTTGCATGCGGGCCGACCGGGGTTCGATCCCTGGCATCCCATATGGTCCCCTGAGCACTGCCAGGAGCAATTCCAAGTGCGGAGCCAGGAGTAACCCCTGAGCACTGTTGGGTGTGGCCCCAAAACAAAATATCAAATAGTTGGCCAGGTGGCAGTCAACATGCTCTCCCAAGTTCCTGCTCCCTCAGGCAGTGTCATGTAGCCAGGGTCCAGGTAGTGCCCGGCTGGTGGCTTCCGCACAGGCCACAACTCACTTTGTTTCCTTCTGGGTTTGGGGGAGTCATACGGGGGGGGGGGGGGGTCATACCTTCGGTCATACACATGCCAAAAACTGCCGTCCACTCACTGAGCTCTCCCTCACTTTTAAAGCACTCTCTAGCCCTCTCAACTGTCTCCCTGGCTCTAATTGTAGAGAATTTTGGGGATGCCTGGATCTATTCCCAATTCAGTGCTCTGGAGTCACTCCGAGCAGTGCTTGGGGGACTGTGTGGCGGCGAGGACTGAACCCCACCTTCCCACATGCAAAGTCTGGGCTTTGTGCAGTTTCCTGTGTTCTGACTGGCCACATGCTGTGGTGCCCAGGCGGGACCCCTTGCAGCACTTGGTGAACCACATGTGGTGGGTGCAGGGGCCCACCAGATTTGGCTGGATGCCAGGCAGTGTCCAATGACCTGTATTACCTTCCAGCCTCTTTGTTGTTTTGGGGGCACATCTGATGTGCATAGAAGTTAGTGGTGATGCTCGGGGGATCAAATGGGATGTTGGGGATCGAACCTACAAGGTTACCTGCTGAACTATCCCTCCAGCCCGCCTGCCTTGAAGTTTTGAGGCCATACAGGGTGGCGCTTAAGGCTGACTCCTGGCCAGGAGTCATATATGACGATGATCCAGGACCATATGTGATGCCCAGGACCAAACCAGGGTTGGGGGCTGGAGTGACATTACAGCGGATAGAGTTGCTTTGCATGCGGCCAACCCAAGTTCGTTTCCCAGCATCCCATATGGTCCCCTGAGCGTTGCCAGGAGTAACCCCTATGCATCACCTATGCATCACCAAGAAGCAAAATAAATAAAAAAACCAGGGTCAGCTGCATACAAGTGCTCTACCCTTACATGCTCTCTCTGGCCCTGGTTCCTGGTTTCTTTACTGAGCCAACAGAAGCACTGAGGAATGGAAAGATCTGCCCACTCAGCTAAAAATGTCTGAACTCTGACCATCCCCCCCCCCCCCCCCCCCCCCCCCCCGAGATGCCCGTGTCTAAAGTTCCCTGTGTGGATTTGTTTCAGATGCTAAAAGTTTACTCTTTCCAGGCTGGAGCCATAGTACAGCAGGTGGGCACCCGCAACTCAAGATGGATCCCTGGCACTCCATATGGTCCCCTGAGCCTTGCCAGGAATAAGACCTGAGCATTTCCAAGTGTGCCCCCCACATGCCCCACCCCCGAAGTATAGAAGCTCATCTCTTTCTTAAAGTGCCCCCACCCAAGGCCAGGCGTGAGCCTGAGTCCTCTTTGCAGCCACCCACCCTCCACGCCATAGTCTGGACTCTGACCAGTCTGCTGACTGCTCTCTGCCCCACAGTCCTACGGCCCGCACCCTGTCCACGTCACTTCCTGCACCAAAGCCGCAAACACTCCATCACCTCCAAAAGGGCAAATTCCCAACCTGGCACTGACAGCCTTTTACTGTTAGGTTTTTGCTTTTATTTTCACTCCCACTCTTGTTTTGGGATCCTACCCAAGCACCATGCAGGGGCTGAGCTGGAAAAAGCCGCAGAACAAGTGCTATGGCCCTTTCAAACTTTCTTCCTGCCCTGAAAGACATCCCAGGTGCTCCCAGGTGCAGGGACAGGTTCATCCCAGAACACTTGCCTCTTTATGTGCGAGACCCTGGGTTCCATCCCTGGTCCTTAGCGCCTTTTCCTTTAGGAAAATGCTTTCTGGGTTTCGACACCCAAATGCCCTTTACCTTCCCTTAGATGCATCTCGTAAACTGACCCCAATCTGTGCCCTCCCCCAGGCCCTATACAGTTCCAGACTTCCCTGCTTTCAAGGCCTCATCCCTGCCTTCCAGAGCTCACTCGTCAGAATTATTACTACTCCTCTTACTTGGGTTTCACTGTACCTGACAGTGTACTGGGGCTACTCCCAGCTCTTGTGCTTAGGGGATCATGGGGTACCAGGGATCATCACCTGGCCCTCCCAGAATCCAAAGCCATTAAATTAACAGCCCATTTTGCTTCATCTTCAGAGAAAGCTAAGGCAGTAACCTGACCCCGACTGTTTTCCTATTCATTACTCTGGAGGTTTTGTTGCTTTGTTAGTGACTGTCCCCATTTCAAAACATAAAAACAGCTCAAATGACTGGAACACATCCCCTGGTACCCTGAGCACCATTGCAGGAAGTGCTCCCTCAGTACTATGTCAAGAATTACCCCAAAGCATAAAAATTAAACTTGCTTTTTTGACCACACTAATAAATGCTCTAGACTAGTGTTTCTCAACATTTTCCCACTGTGACCTCCCTCTGGCTTTCTTCCCTTGGTGTGCCCTCCCCATCCTACCAGTTGGTCCCCTAGTCCCCTGCCAAGAGCTACCACCACCCTATTTACATGACTAACATGTGGTCCCTTGGGATGCAGATGTGAAAATCTGGGGTCTTGAGGATGCACAGGAGGCCACATGGCCACTGGCTGAGAAATGCTACTCTAAATTATTCAATCATGTGCTCATTGTCACTTAAAGGACTAATGAAGCAGAAGAAAACCCTGCAAGATGCAGACTTGAAGGCCATTCTGGAAGATCTCCCGCAACCCTGTGCAGACGCTTGTCCTTGGGTGGTCATAATTGAAAGCAGAAGTCCAGAGACGAGATGGCCAAATCCAGCAGAAACTTTATTTGGTTTAAGAAAGGGAAAGCCGAGTATGGGCGTCTCCTTTAGTGGGAAGTACTGGGTAGGGTAAAAATCCTCTAAGGCACCAGGGAGGCTAGTCTATTGAGAGCATCATCTGCCACCCCGTGTCCACTCTCCTGCCATTCCACATGGGGCCCATTCTAGGGGGGTGGGGGACATTCTCTTTCTAGTCGCACCCGAGCTCCCTCCTATCTTTCTAAAAGGAATCTTTGCTATTCTTCCTCGGCACGGCTTGCAGCTCGGCCGCTGCTCAATAAGTTTGCTACAGAGGAGAGGAATGTATGGGCAAGTCCCTGGCACCCAGCCCTGCCAGTGTCTCCTAAGAGCTTTTTTTTGGGGGGGGAAGGGGGGTTCACATTCCGAGATGCTCAAAAGCCCGGGTCGGGACCTAATCTCCCGCAGGGCGCTCCAACTCCTAGAGCCATCTCTCCGCTCCCCACCATCTAAGCGACCCGAGGGGGGTTCCGCCTTGCCTTACCCGTCCACCTGGGCGAGGCCTCGGAAGGTGCCCTCCCCTCCCGGGCAGTGCCTCTGACCCTGGAATCGGCCTTCCTCGGTGCTGAAGTGCCTCACGGTTCTGTCGGCGCAGCCCACCAGGATCTGCGGGGAAGAAAGGCACGGAATGGCGAGAGGACCGAGGCCCGCGGCGCCCGGGGTCCCCCTCCGGCCCGCGGCCGCTCACCTGCGTCTCGGAGCCCGGACCCCAGCACAGGGCGCTCACCGCCTCCTCGCGCCGCGGCTGGCCGCTCTCCGTGAAGTTCGCCGCCTGTTTGCGCTGCAGGTTCACCCCTGCGGGACGCGGCCGTCAGGCGTGCCGGGACCCTCTCGAGCAGAATCCCCCCTCTCCGCACTCCCGCACGCAGCACCGCCCCGCCACCCACCTTTCAGGATCCCGGTGTCGGTGCCGACCCACACATGGTTCCAGCGTGCTCCGGCAGCCGCCATGGCAGAGCCCGGGAACCCACGCTCGCGCTTCCGGATGGCACTTCCGGCGCCGCGGTGACGTCACTAGCGCGCGCGGCGTCCGGGCTGGGGGAGAAGTGGGTTCCCGCTTCAAGGTTGGGACAGGATTGAGATCTCTGACTCGGCTTGGAGACATCGGAGTGACCGGAGCATGTAATGACCGTCGTGATTTAATGTAATGACGCGGGGAGCCAGTGTGGTAGGAGACCCGGGGAGTCTCCGCAGGGCTGCGATGCGCTCGTGGGCTCGGTGCATGGAGGCTCGCGCTCTTCTTTTGAGCCGGGTTGCCTGCACGCTGCGAGTTTATAAAGAGACACCATCCCCGTCAGCGTCCGTTAAAATTTGTCTGATGAGGTCGGAGCGGTAGTACAACGGGTAGAGCGTTTCCCTTGCACGTGGCCGACCCGCGTCGGGCATCCCCCCCATCCCCCCCAAGCGTAGTACAACGGGTAGAGCGTTTCCCTTGCACGTGGCCGACCCGCGTCGGGCATCCCCCCCATCCCCCCCCATCCCCCCCATCCCCCCCCATCCCGCCAAGCAATGTCAGGAGGAGTAACCCCTGACCATCCCCAGGTGTGACCCCCAAAAGCCAAAAAATAAAATTTGCTTGTTATGAGAAAAGAAACTATATCGACGCTTGTTTATGAGGCCCTGAAGCGTAACGACCTTTTTCCACCTGGAGTGGAATGCGTCCTCGCTGAACGCCTGTCACTCTGGAGTCGATTCTAACCCCTTTCTTTCCGGTACTGTGCAACACATACTAGCACGTTCCTGCGCAGCAACAGGAGTCTTGCCCCTGTCATTCCCACCTCAAGAAACACCGATAGGAGTGGTACTATCCAGTGTATAAAAACTAGGTAGGAGTTGATCTCAATTAACTAGAAAGTACTTAGGCGTTACCCGAAAACCTGACTTCCAATTGGCTTAACTGTTCTAAGTGTACCGGCTGCAGCATGCTAAAACCAAAATGTTGCTTAGACATTACTTTCCTGTCTAGGTCTAAACAAGTCTATTATTTTAACCAGTTTTATTCCCCCGAGGGGGTGCACCGTTCCTGGAGGTACTGCAATACCAGGTCGATGCGTGGAATGGACGGAGCAAGCTCCTATTCCATTTCCTAGTCCCAAAAATCCATTTAATATATTGTCCTCGGATAGAGGACGTATCAGATATTAAACTGATAAGAACAGATACTACACTTGATCTTAGCCAAAAGGCCGAGAAGCGATACTGAGTCCTTTCAGGCCTAGCCTGCCTTAGACAAGCTACTCCCATTTACATTGTGGTGACTTTAAAAGTCTGGCAATTTTATACAATTTGTCAAGCTGCATTTTTTCTTAAAATTATTTATTTTTCCTTCATATAAAGTAGATATTTGGGGGGAAATAGGTATCGAATAATTCTTTTTGTTTCGGCTCCTGGCAGTTCACTGCGCGTTAAAATTTTTGCATAAACCCGCCCTCTCCGTTTTTTCCGCTCTTGCGATTGGTGCACATATCTGGCGTGATTTCAATAGCTGCAGACTCTCCCCTCCCGTGCTCTGGTGGCCAGTCCGATCTGACTGGCCACCGACTGGACGGTGGTATCCCTTAGTTGGTTGAGATCACTCTGGCGGTTGATGACTGCCCGCTGGGGGCAGGTTTTGAAGACGAGAACTGAGCTGGGACACCTGCTCCTTTGTACCTTGACTGACAGCTGCAGGCGCTGTTTGGGCTTCTCTCTCCATGTCCGGTGGGAGTGGGGCGCGATTACCAGAGTTGGCAGGATGGTTGTGAGAACTGCGCACGGTGGGGCCAAGCATCCTTTGCAAAGCTGAAGGGGACGGTTAGCGCCCTGCACTCCTCCCCGCTTACCCTGACCGGTTACGTTGTTTCAAAGCATCCCTAACGTCTGCGTTAACAGCACATTGTACTCTATCGATAAAGCTTATTTATGGGGTTAGATTAGTGGTGTGTACACGTAACATACACAAGCTCGCTGCCATGGTGTAATGATTAGGAATAAGAACTTTGAGCCAGATTCAATAAATTGACCTGCCCTGGCTTGGGCCAGAGAGCAGAGCAGAGCGGTTAAGCACGTTCCTCGCCTGCAGCCCACCTGCCTTCTATCTCTAGCATAGTATGTAGTCTCCCAGTTCCACCAGGAATAGGTCTTGAGTATAGCAGGGTGTGACCACATATACCTCTAAATTTACCAGTCCTTGTTTTGTTTGGGGCCTCACCTTGGTGCCGGGAAACATGGGGTGCCAGGGATTGAACCTGATTGCTTTGACCCAGCATTGCTCAGGAACAAAGCTGGAGGTGTTACATGGAAGGGGAGTCCTGCGGATAACAAGGGCCAGAACTTAGAGCTTTGCACATGCCAGGCATACACTGCATAGCTTTAAGCCCTGCTGTATGATTTTGCTGGTTGTTGTTTTGGGGCCACACAATGCTGCGCTCAGCTTACTCTTGAATCTGCCAGGAATCATTCTTGGCAGGGTTCAGAGAACCATATGCAACATGGGCGATCAAACCAAGGTCCAGTGCGTTGAAGTCAAGTGCCCTACACGCCATATTATCTCTCAGGCCCCAGTACTTCTTTTCTTGGGAAGTTTTTGTTTTGTTTTGGGGCCCCATCCGGAAGTACTCAGTGGTTACTTCTGGCTCTGCACTCAGGGATCACTTCTTCCTGGTGATGCTCAGGGGACTATATGGGATGTCAGGGATCAAACCTAGGTTGACTGTACAAGACGAGTGCCCAGCCTGCTGTACTATTGCTCTGGCCCCTCTTTTTTTGTGTGCTTTTGTGGCCAGGGACTCCCACTGGGAGCCCAGCACACCTGGAGGTCCCTCCCAGCTTAAAAAAAATTTTTTTTTTTGTGGGGGGAGGAACTTTTTTGGCACATCCCCAAGGTGCTGAAAGTTCTGGTTCTGTGCTCAGGGATCCCTCCTGGCAGGACTCAGGCAAGCCCAAACCTTCTGTACTATATACAGGTCTGGACAATTTTTGACGGACATGGTCTGGCCATGCATTGGTTTGGGGCATTGGGGAGATTGGGTGATATTCTGCAACACTCAGATGTTATTCCGGGTTACTCAGGAGTGACCCCTGTGCTCAGACCATATATGGTGTTGGAGTGTGTAAACTCACACAAGGGGGGGGCACGGCATACACACAGCGGCGGTGGCTCTATCTCTCCCGCCGCCCGCGTTCGGTAGTCTCACCCTTCTCCCACCCCGGAGAGGTCGATGGCGATGGTCAGGCGGAGGAAGGAACGAGGGCCAGGCTGGTAGGTATTAGTCGTAGTTTATTCTGATTCTCTCTTCATCTGTCTCTGCCCCCTTCTCCTTCTTTCTCTCTCTGTCTCTCCTCCTCTTCTCCTCTCTCTGCTCCCCTCCTGCCCAATCTACAGTCTCATTATATCTCTCTCCAAGAGGAATAGGGGAAACAATTACACATAGGTGTGGTGACAATCAATAGGGGTGGAGATCAATAGGGGTAGCAATCTTAGCCTCAGGGAAGGTCGCTCCTAGGACATATCCTTCCTCAGTAGGAGGACCCTCCCTAGAGCATAATCCCATGGGCGTGCCTCTCCTCTCCTTGTCCGACAAGCATATAAGAATATAATATAAATCATTTTGTATGGATACAGTAAGAAATATCTTAAACTTATAGAATTGCTCTCCTAGGGCCATCTCGATCTCAGACTACGGTGCTCAGGCCAGATAGTCTTTCCCACCCCTAGCAGGATCCTGTCTTGTCGTTACCTTTGGATCATGACAGCATTTGTCTATGATCAAACTCTTAATTTATAGTTAAGAATCGTGGCACTTTGGCCTGGCCCATTTCGCTGCCAGGGTAGCTCACCGCTTGCCCTGGGTCCATTCAGTCCCTCGTCAGGACCCTGCCTTTGGGGTGTTAGGAACGAAGGGCAACTGAGGCTTAAATCGAGAAAGCAGATGCCCGGGAGTGAATAATATTCAAGGCCAATCAAATCCTAAATTACAAAGCATGATGTTAACGGTCTTCCTGTATCTGTACAAAAAGGATATTACTTTAAGGTAAACTATTCTTCGCTGGAGCGATAGCACAGTGGGTAGGGCGTTCGCCTTACAAGCGGCCAACATGGCTGACCTGAGTTCGATTCCTCCGCTCCTCTCGGAGAGCCCGGCAAGCTACCGAGAGTATTCGATATGCCGGACACAGTAACAACAAAGTCTCCAATGGAGACGTTACTGGGCCCGCTAGAGCAAATCGACGATCAACGGGAGGGTCTTTACCTTACCTCGAGCAAACTATTCATAAGGCATAAGGAGAGGAGAAAGGCAATATTTCACTCATACATATAAAATCATAGGTTTCTGGGAAACTGATCTTACAAATTTACAGTCTGATTAAGGGGAAAGCTGATTAACGGGGTGGGAAGGAGAGCATAGGGAAGACTGTTTACAGATAAACACAATGGAAGTGGAAGTGCTTCAGGAGCACTGTGATGGGTGTAACCAGATAAACTTAAGCTTCTTGTGGAAGGACAAAGCAATGTTACCCAGCATTGGGGGACATTGATTGAAACAGGGTCAGTCACATGCAAGACAAGCACCAAACTTCCTATACTTCTCTCCTTCCCACAGCTCCTCTTTCCCTCTTGATGTTTTGGTGTGTGTGTGTGCGCGTGCTTACACACACAATGCTCAGGGCTTGCTCCTGGCTCTCTGCTCTGACCTGCTGTACTGACTGGCAAGTCTTGTTTTTCCTCAATCACTCAATTCCTCTGCAGAACCCCACTGGGGACAGGCTAACCCCTCCTGGCTGAGCAGGATGCAGCCTCCTGTCCCAGAGGACAGGTCCCCTGGTGGACATGTCCCCAGCCCTGGCCTTCTCCAAAGGCAGGTGGGCGGTGCTAACTCTTCTATCCACTGAGCTTCTATGCCTGCAAGGGTACAAATGGGAGCAGATAGCAAAGGCCCCACAAACCCAATGTGTACATTTGGGTCATTTGTTTGCTGGATTTTGTGCACACGTTAGGCACTGCAGTCATGAGTCAACTAAACATGGCCCTGGCCTGTATTCTGGAAATTGGGGGTGTTAGAGCAAGGAGTCAAAGAGAGCATTCTTTCCTTCCCTTTGTTGTGATGTGCCAGAAGTTGCACACATCCTAACAAACACCAACTTTATTATGGTGCTTGTTGAGGGAAAGCTGGCAAGAGGCATCCACTCAACCTCATCTAAGGCAGGTGATTTTTTTTTTGCTTTTTGGGTCACACCTGGCAGTGCACAGGGGTTACTCCTGGCAGTGCTCAGGGGACCATATGGGATGCTGGGAATCAAACCCAGGTCAGCCGCGTGCAAGGCAAACGGCCTACCTGCTGCGCTATCTCCCCAGCCCCAAGGTAGGTGCTTTTAAAGATTGCTAGGATAAAGCCCAAAAAGGTAGCCAGAGGCTACCTTTTAATCTCTGGAGTACCCAAGACCCCAACAGGTGGTCCTACCAATCATTTCATTTTCCCTAGCTTGAAGCCATAGCCTCTGTAGCAGATTGTCTACATGTAACTGAACTGAGGGTAGAGGCTAAAGCTCAGTGCAGGTGGGCTTTGATTCTTCCACCCTTGCTTGCCAGCTATCTGAAATATAAACAGGCCATGAGGCAGACCCCACTTCAGGCAGTTTTCCAGGTATACCCAGATGAAAGTACAGTACCACACAGGCAGTGAAGTTTAATAAAGCCTTTATTTAGGAAAAAAAAGTCATTGTAGTCAACTTGCTGCAGCTTCCAGTCGTGCCCTCTTAAGCTTTCAGAGAGCAGAAAGTGTGCCTGGAGATCAGCACTAAAGCTCACAACATGCTGCCTTTTAGGTCAACTATTAAACTTTGCTGTAAGTGGCAATCCATTCTTGAATGCCTTACGGTGTCTTGGGATTCTTCAAACCTGGAAAACAATTCTTTTTACAGACAGCCATCTATATCCCCTATCCTCCCACAAATCATATCCTTTAGGATCCCTCAGACAGTTCCTTCTGGAACAAGCTTTCCTCTTTTCCCCCAGCCAGTCCCAGTGGGTTCACCTTTGCAGGCTCTGGGACTAGGACAGGTGGTAAGACATGTGAGAGTCTCTTCATAGGGAAAGTGCTTTGCCTCACCCATGGCATGCAAGTCACCTCACCTCTCACTTCAGACAAGGTTCAGCAGAAACATCCTCTCCAATTTGCCCTGCAAAAGGATAATTTGCAGCTAAGCCAATTCATTCGTAAGAGCCAGTTAGTAGCAGACAGGTTTGAGAAGCTAGTTTCAAAAAACAAAAAAAACCTTCCATTGTGCATTTACTCCTAGCAAGCTCACAGCTCAGAAATACCTTTCAGTCACAGTGATCAGACTGGGGCGGTATCGAGTTCATCACTGGTGAGTGGGGAATGATACTAGGTGTTCCAGAAACAGCATTTTCCTAAGCAGTAGGGGTGCCTGCACTTGTTCCCCAGGTGCCGTTTCCAATGTGCTACGAACTGGAAAATTATGTGGCAAAGGGCCTTACCTGGAACCCATCTTCTTTTCCAGACAAGGTGCTGTACCTGAAACATTAATGCCATTAATGCTCATTTGAGGCCATACAGGCTCTCCTGCCTAAGCCACCCTATCCCTGGGAAATCAGATTTCCGAGTCTCAACAGCAAATCATCAGCCGAACGAGATTCCATTAAGTCATCACATATAAAATAGCCTAAGGGCACATCCCCCTACCCAAAATGCTACACGCTCCAAAAAAATTACTCACCTTGAGCAAACAGGCAGATCGCTACCAGTGGAGCCTAGGGGCAAATAAAATGTTCACGTGAGTTCCCTAGGCAAGCATGGCACTGCCCCAACTATGTTCTTAACCAGTTTCTCAGGTGTTCACTTGTTTTCATTGTGTAAATCATAGTGAGCTAGTTTTAATCATCATAGAAACCGCTCATTTGATGACTTGGAAACCAACCCCCCAAATAACCCTCTAGTAATGAAGTCTTTCCCCAAGTCTTTACCTTATTACAGATAAATACAGCATTGTCCAGAAAACCTGCAGGAAGAAAGAGCAACCTGTTGCTCGAGGATGCTGGAGCCCAGTAAGGCTTCTTCAATAACTAGCCGTCATCAGAACTCTAACATGCTATTATAGTACCTCACGGAGGGTCAGCATTATGGATTCAAATCATCTGACAGACACGTTGGGGGAGAACTAGCTTCATCTAGGTTGCCCAAGATGATGCCAGGAATAAATCCCCAGAAGGCAAGAGCAACGCTCCTCCAAGGGCCATGTGTTCAAGATACAACCCACGCCCCTCGCAGGAGCAATTACCTGCAATCACCCGCAGGGGCAATGGAAATCCGCGGGGCTATCCAAAGGATGCTGGAGACAAAAAAAAAAAGAGAAATTCTAAGCACGTCTATCAGCAGCCGTCCTGAAAGCCTTTGCGATTCCGACCCACTTATCAGCTCCGAATTTAACATCACTTCGGCTCAGCCATATGCTTGTCATTTTACGTTCATCATACAGTGGTCGCACGCAATCGAAGCTCCGCGCCCCTTTCCCACACGTACCTGGCCTTGCACCGAACCGCTGCATCGACGGCAGCAGCAGCCGGATGCTTCTCGTCCCATCCTGCAACTCAGACGCTCTTCCGCGTTTAATCGGAGCTGGAAGGAAAAACAGAATCCTGTGACTGCCCTTAATTTTAGGCTCTGCACTCCACTCAACACGTTAGCAACAATGAAAGGTGCTACTCAGAATTATCGAGGATTTCTCCACCAGCTCATCAGCAAGAGAGAGTTCAAGGGTTAGACTCATCCCGGCAGCACGCTCAGTAGGGGCTTTAAAACCATCCGCACTTACTCTTAAGGCCGGGCCTCAGCACCCACGTTCCAGCGTCTGCCGCGCGCGCGTGCGCACTCGCAGCCTGCAAGATCAGAAGGCATCGAGTTCAGAAAACAGGTACCTGGTAAAGACACATTTCACTGAGCCGGGCTAGAGCTGCGCAGGGCCCATCTCCTCAGAGCTTTCCATCCTCACGGAAGTCAGTACAGGTCTGTGAAAACCGTCTCATCACAGGGAGGGGGCGCCCGCACCGCCATTTTGTCCTTCAAAGACCCCCTCAACCCCCCACTTCTCGGGTTGCGTGACTTTTTCCCGCTCCGTTCCTCCAACAACCAATGCAATCCGTGCAACCAAAGCAATCGGGAACCCGGGCTCGAGAAGTCCATGAAGAGGCCCGTTCCCTCGACCACACCAAGCAACGCAAAACAACTCACCGAGAAGAGGCGAAGAAATGAGAACGAAGGAGCTCCGCGAGATGCTTAAATAGTGTTTCGCAGAGGCTCACGGGATCGGGGGGCGGAGCTATAGCCGACGCACGCGCAGAAGGAGCGATCGGGCTAGCGCGGGGGGGTGTGGGTACCATTTAACCGGAAGCGGGGCGGGGATCTGGGGTTCCGCCGAAGTAGCGGCGCGAAAAGGATGCGCGTGCGCCCTAGGGGAGTGCGTCAACACGCGTTGCCGCACTGCGGGGACTTTGGGGGTGCTGAGGCGTGAGCTCACGGCGGGTGCTGGTCTCGCCACCCGATCCCAGTCGTCTGCCTCCCCGCACACACACACTCTTCCTCGGGTCTCCCTTGCCCACACGCATCCTTAACCCTCCTTGTGCTGGGTCCCGCTTCCATGGATCCCGAACCCGATCAACCCTCCTCGACAGCCGCCGACGCGGCTCCTGCCCAGCCGCCCAGCTCGCCTTCCCAGCCTGATGCTCAGGCTACAAGCGAGGGGCCCGACTCAGGTACTGGGACCCGGGCTGAGCTCGGGGGGAGGAGGGGGTGGACCCTTGCATGGAGACGTTTCGGGAAAGTGCACGTGGCCGTCGGTGCTCCCGTTGGAGATTTAGGAAACTGACTGGTTCCGCTCGGAGGGTGGCTGGTCGCGGGTCGCCCTGCAAAGCAGCTGACCTTTGGAGCCTCCTTTGTGAAGACACCTCATGCACTTGAGAATTCCATTTGCTCGATGCGAGGAAGAGCTGCCCGCAGGTCGGCCCCCCTCCCCCCCACCCGATCGTCTATGTGATTTCAGGCCAAGTCCTGCCAGCCCCTCAGTTCATTCGTTTGCAGTAAACACCCAGGGTACTTGCACGTTTTAGAAGCCTTTACCGAGCATTTTTTGTGTACTTACTTTTCTGTTTGACCTGAATTACGTCATCCCAAGAGGAAGATGATCTTTGGTTGAGGGTCTTGGGTGGGGCCACATCCATCCGTGCCCAGGGATCACTCGGGACCATATGGGGTGTCGGGGTTCGAACACCTTAAGCCCTGCACTGCCTCTTCGACCCTGCTGTTGCTCATTCTGAGGCCACATGCAGTGATGCTTGGTGCCGCTTCAATGCCGGGGGAAACACATCGCAGTGAGTGGAAGCAGGGGTTCTGTGCATGCCAGCATGTGCAAGGGCCCTTTGAGCTATCCTCCTGATCCCCTAACTTCCATATTTTTGGGTTTTGTTCTTGGGGCACACCTGGCTGTGCTCAGTGGCTATTCCTGGACTCATTGCTGTGGCATTGCTTGGGAAATCAGGGATGGAATCATTCAGGCATGGAATTGTCCATGCCATGGGCATGTGCCCTACTGCTAAGCACATCCTTAGCCCTTCCCATACATTTTGTTTGGGGGTGGGGGTTACACACCTGGTGGTTACCAGGGTTCTGGGCAGTGCTTTGGGGATCATTTGGTGCCGAGGATTGAACCTGCACTTGGCCCATGCAAAGCTTATGCCTAAACCCTTTGAGCTGCCCCTGTCCATACTTTTGATTAGACTATCTGCTAAGAAAATGCCTACATGTGGCTGATGTGATAGTTCAGTGGGTAGGGCGCTCGCCTTGCATGCGGCTGACTCCAGCTCAATCCCCCGGAGTACATGTGGTTCTCTGAGCCAGCACAAGAAGAAAGCCCTGCACACCGCTGGCTGTGACCTCCCCCTCACGAAAAAAAAAAAAAAAGAAAAGGCCTACAGCACACCAGTAAAACTATATACTGTAGCACAGTCCTCCCATTGTTTATCGATTTGCTCCAGTGGGCTCAGCGGGCCCAGTAAGGTCTCTATTGTGAGACTTGTTGTTACTGTGTTTGGCATATCTAATGCGTCATGGGTAGCTTGCCAGGCTCTGCGGTGCAGGCAGGATACTCTCGGTAGCTTGCCGGGCTCTCCGAGAGGGGTGGAGGAATTGAACCCGCATGCAAGACAACCGCCCTACCGCCGTGCTATTGCTCCAGCCCCAAACTATATACATTATCAGTTATTTTATTTGTTTTGATTTGGAGGTCTTGGGGCCATACCCGGCGGTGCTTGGGCCTCTGCTCTTGGCTCTGTGCTCAGGAGTGACCCCTGGTGGTGCTCAGGGAACAATACGATGCTGGGGATCCAAGAGCATTGAACCAGTGTTTGGCCCTATGCAAAGCAAGCTCCTTAACTCCTGCGTTCTCTCCTGTTCAATCAGTTATTTTCAGAGGAGACTTTTTTTTTTTAAATGAGTAGAAGTTTAGAGAGACCACTCCTGGCTCTGCACTTTGGGACCACCCTTCGGGGACCATATGTGGTGCTGGGGATCGAACCCTTGTCGCCTGCGTGCAAGGCAAGTGCCACACACGCACATACACCCCTTCTACAGTACAGAAGTTCCAGGTTTTTTTGTTTTGTTTTGTTTTTTGGTTTTGTGCCATACCTAGTCAAGCTTGTGTGATCTTCCTGGCATAGTACTTGGGGGTCAATCCTGGAAGTGATTAGGGGATCAAGCAGTGCTGGCGGCTCTTGCTTGCAAAGCCTGCAAGATTTTCCTGGTAATATGGGACCACACCTGTTAGTGCTTGGGGCTAATTCCTGGCTCTGCATGCAGGGATCACTTCAGTTGGTCTCTGGGGATCAAATTTGTGCCAGGGACACATTCCTTTCCTGGATCCCTGATTCTGTTCTCAATTTTGTTTTGCTTTTATTTTTTTAAATTTTTATTAGTGAAACACCATGAGGTACAGTTGTAGACTTACAAATTTTTGTGCTTGGGTTTCAATTATACAATGATCAAATACCCATCCCTCCACCAGTGCCCATTTCCCACCACCACGGATCCCAGTATCCCTCCCCCCAACCCCCCCATCCCACCCTGCCTCTGTGGCAGGGCATTCCCTTTTGTTCTCTCTCTCCTTTTGGGTGTGTGGTTTGCAAAAGAAGCATTGAGTGGCAATCATGTTTTGCTTTTCTTTTGGGATGTCATGGGCTCGCGGGACCACATGGGATCAAACCCAGCTTAGCTGCATGCAAGGCAAACACCCTATCCGCTGTACTCTTTCCCGCCCTGGTTCTGTGCACTCTTTCCCGCCCTGGTTCTGTGCTCACTTTACTCCCTCACCTAATCCATTTTTCCCACGGGAGCCAAAATGGTCTTCATAGATTGAAAAAAAAAAACAGAAAAATCTCACCTAAGGAACTGGAGTGATAGTACAGCTGGGAGGGCATTTTCCCACATGTGGCTGACCCAGATTCCATCCCTGGCATCCCATATGATATCCCAAGCTCTGCTATGGGCACTGCTGGGTGTGGCCCCAAGACAAAACGAAACAGAAAAGTGGCTAGAAGACATACTTGATCCTATTGCCCACCTTCCTCTAGTAGGACATAGGATGAACGCCGTTTTTCCTCAGGGAATAGCTTGCCCCCTAGTGGCAGCAGCGGGCACTGCTTCTTTTAGTAGCCGAGGTAGTAGCACTGTAGCATTGTCCTCCCGTTGTTCATCGATTTGTTCGAGCGGGCCCAGAAACGTCTCCATTGTGAGACATGGTTGTTACTGTGTTTGGCATATCGAATACGTCACGGGGAGGTTACCAGGCTTTGCCTGATACTCTCGGTAGCTTGCCAGGTTCTGCGAGAGGGGTGGAGGAATCGAACCCACGTTGGCCGGGTTGGCCGTGTGCAAGGCAAAACGCCCTACCAGCTGTGCTATCACTCCAGCCCTAGTAGAGGAGGTAGGGTGTGCAAATAAGATGCAGAGGAGCATATCTACAGTGCTCTTGCAAAAATTGAACTCGATGGGGCTGGAGAGACAGTACTTGAGTTCAGGCAGTTGCTTGAACAATGGTTTGAATCCAGGCACTGCATAATGTCTCCTGAGCACTGTCTGGTGAGACCAAAAAAAGAAGGAAAAAATTGAGGTCAGGTAGTTACACGGCGGGTAGGGTATACAGCAGGTTGCACATGAACCACCTGGGTTCAGTCCTCCAGCACCCCATTTGGTCCCCCGAGCCCACTAGGAGTGATCCTTGAACACAGTGCTAGGAGCACTATTGGGTGTGCCTCAAAAATCAAAACCAAAAATATTAAGTTTGAGAATACACTTTCCTTAACGCTTTCCCAGGGAAGGGTTAGACTGATCCCCCCCCCCTTATTTTTAATTAATTAATTTTATTGAACCACAGTGAGATACACAGTTACAAAATTGTTTATGATTGGGTTTCAATCATATAATACTCATCCTTCCACCAATACACATTTCCTACCACCAATGTCCCCAGTTTCCCCTGCTATTACTTTTTTTCCTTTTACTTTTTTATTGAATCACTGTGAGATACATAGTTACAAAGCTTTCATTATCGGGTTTCAGTCACATAATGTTCCAACACCCATCCCTCCACCAGTATGTGATTTCCACCACTATTATCCCCCATATCTCTCCCAGGTTGGACTGATTTTGTTTGTTTTAGGCTTTTTGGGTCATACCGGTGATGCACAGGGGTTACTCCTGGCTCATGCACTCAGGAATTACTCCTGGTGGTGCTCAGGGGACCATATGGGATGCTGGGAATTGAACCCGGGTCGGCCGCATGCAAGGCAAACACCCTACCCACTGTGCTATTGCTCCAGCCCCTGGACTGATTTTGGAAATAATTGTAGAGATTTTTTTTCCTGTTTTTTTTTGGGAGGGGCATACCTGGCAGTGCTCATAGACTACTCTTGGCTCAGTGCTCAGGGTCATTCCTGGCAGTGTCCAGGGTGCTGTGTGGCCCTGGAGGATCAGATTCAGGTTCCCATATACAAATCATGCATCCCGCCTGCTAAGTTGTCTCAACTCTGGGATTTGGGGAGGTTTGTAACCATACCCTGTGGTGCTCAGGGGACCATATGCGGTGCCTTGGGTTGTCCTGGGGTTGGCTGCGTGCCAGGAAAGCAGGTGCCTTCTTGTACTGTACTTCCTGCCCTGGTTTAGATGGAAGTTTTTAAAAAATTAATTTATTTGCTCGAGCGGGCCCAGTAACGTCTCCATTGGAGACTTTGTTGTTACTGTGTTTGGCATATCGAATACTCTCGGTAGCTTGCCGGGCTCTCCGAGAGGGGCGAAGGAATCGAACTCGGGTCGGCAATGTTGGCCGCTTGTAAGGTGAACGCCCTACCGCTGTGCTATCGCTCCGGCAATTTATTTAGGTTGTTGGGCTGCACCCAGATGTGATCTGGGCTCTGGAGACCCATCTGTGGTGCCGTGTGCAAGTTAAGCACCTTACCTGTTGTACTGTCTTTCTCTCTGGCCCTGAATTTTTTTTTTTAAGTAGTCTGAGACTTTTTTTGATTTCCCCCCCCCCCACCCCTTTCATTTTGGTCTTTTGGGTCACACTTGGCAATGCTCAGGATATTACTCCTGGCTCTGCACTCAGGAATTACTCCTGACAGTGCTCAGGGAACCATATGGGATGCCCGGGATAGAACCTGGGTCGGCTGTGTGCAAGGCAAACACTCTAGCCACTGTACTATTG